AGTAATTAATTTTACTTTTTGGTAATCCTGCCGGCTCTTGGGGGAAACATGGATTACCTTTTCGAATTTTCTGAATATTTTACTGTATTGTTATGATAAAAAAAAAGGCGAAATAAATGAAATGAAATAGAGTACGATGCGATAGGCCCGACTGTGACAATACTAGGTACCAAAGTAGGGAAAACATTGAAAAACTTTGCTATTCCAATGAACTGTAGCATTCCACTCTAAAAATTAAGGTGTATATAGAATATCCTGACTAAAGAAATGCTAAATAAAACGGAGAAACTGTACTACTATATTTTTTTTAATTTGTTTTAGCCAGGGTATGCACTGCATACCTTGCTTGCCTTGACGGTCCGCCATTGGGCCTAGATCAATCACAAGGCAAATAGACCAAAAAAAAAATGAATAAAAAGTCCAAATATAGAAACAAAAAACAAGCACTGCAGCTACAAAAGAAAGCAATACTGAATGTCAGGAATGGAAAAGCAAGCCAACACTCGTAGGAAGACATAAGTGAACAGACAGTGGAGACTTTGTAGCTGCTGATCTAACACAGCGCCAGTCAACAATACAATGAGCCCTGAAAGTAAATTTACGTAGATTAGATCAATAAAAATGGACATAGTAGTAATCCATCTATTCATTAACAAGAATAACTTTTTCAATCCTGTAATCAATTTTATATAGCCGGAGTTAGTTTCGCACTAGGCAACCCTTGCTAAAAAGGTACACTTTATCCTTCAAAAGGCTTTTTCTATTAATAGAATGACCTGTTGCCAGCGGGGTGGCGGGGGGCTTAAGCCCCCCTCCCCACCTGACAGGTCATGCCCCCCGCCGGACAGAGCTCGTCGGGCAGTCAGACCATAAAACATAAAAAATAGGCCCACACCAAGCCAACACATGTCTGTCACAGTCTGAGAGTGCCATTTTCGGCCACCTAGAGGTTGATATTCTTTAAAAAAAATCTCATTTGGGAGGGGGAACACCCTCTCAACCCCTTCTCCCAGCTCGTCGAGCCTACGATCTCAAGTCCTCCCTGTCGGACCACTTAGCCCCCCCGGAAAATATATCATAGAGCCGCCACTGGTAGTAAGCACGAACTCCTGTAGACTAAACCCAGTACCGTTACGATTTTTAATTGTGCGGGAAATCCACTCACTTGTCTTTCCTTTTTTTCCTTTATATCGAGGCCTGAAGAATGAGATAATATTGCTGATCTTTTCAAGAGGAGAAAAACCTTGTATTTTAAAGAACTTAAAGGTCATTAAAAAACTCTTCAGAAGTCGGGAAAGCTCATTTCCGGCCTATGAATGAAAATTTTTCATTTTGAACCACCCCCTTTCAAATCCTGGATCTGCCCCTGATTATTATGTGGGTGCTAATACCTCATCACAGACAGTGCATGGGTCACTAACAGTTGGATGGATGATTTTTTGTTCTCATTTATCAAGTAAATCCGGGATTTTAAGGTATATCAATGTGGATGTTTTCCTCATCATTACCTAACTCTCATTTGCTTGTAAAAGTATTTGAAGTTTGAGTTGAAAAATACTAAATAAAGTACAATATTTTGAAAGTTACTTTGGTATTTCCGACTATTTTTTTACTACTGTCTTATACATTAATTTGTTTGACTGAAGAGAAAACGTTATATTTATAAATCAGACTGAGGAAGGGCTGGAGAACATAGTCATAGTCAAAGCAAACACATAATTAACTATATGTTCTCATTTTAATAAGAATTACATATATCGAATAAAAATGCATGAATGGATGAATGTTTATAATGAATAGTCGTCTTCTAGTATAGGGAGGCCTATTAAATATTATTTTTCTTATAAACTCCAAGGCTTTTTTTTATCAACATTCAAAATACTATCGTGATTTAAAGTAAACTTTCTAAAAATCCATAATACATAGCATATTTTCCAATAATCTTATTCTTATTAAGTCTTGCCTTTATATATATTTAAAAAAACGGATATAATAATTTGACTTTTATGAATTCTTTTTCAAATACAGGTCTTAAATTACTGTTTTTATATACTGCCATCACTCGGCGAAACTCATGCATCCACAACAGACGCTAGGGGCGTTTCCCCATACAGCGGATCGGGCGTCACATTGACTCGCGTGCATTAAGAATAGCAGTGGACTCTCTTCTGTTATATACTCTTTACTATAAGCTCCTCGATCGCATGTGACCTCTATCACTCTCAAACTGATCCACCACTCAGGGGCGTCGGAAGCAATTTTCATTGGACTGGCCAGATGCGACGATCCCTAATCCCACCCCTCACCTCACATTGGCCCGTGGTGGGAGAGGGTCCGGATAGAAAACCTTCTTTTTATACACTATGTCCTTACAGGGCATCGTATTCTTGCCAGTATTATCGCAAAAAACATTACATTCACAGAGAAGATATTTCTACCCACATAATAAAGCTCTGATGGTTTGACAAATCACGCAGAAAAATAGATTATTGAAGGTTTCTTTATTGCAGTTTTAACGGCTCTCCAGAGACTTCCATCACGGATAAATGGAATGTAAACTGATCATTGTGAGTGTGACAGATTGTTATGGCGTGTAATTAGATAATAACAATAATAACGAGATGCTTCTTCGTTAAATAAATACACAAGTAGGCCCAGAAGATGTATGCAATAATTATTAAAAACAATGTATTATGTTTATATACACGGGTTGCCGGCTATAATATATGTATTATATCAAATAAAATAAAATATACGTTTGAATTGCACAAGGTGATGTAAATTACATTATCTTTTACAATCATTATAAAAAGGATTATTTTGTGGTAGGTCTTTACTGAATTATTTCCTAGCAGTTATAATTTGCTTTATCAAATGTGCAGTGAAATATCGTACCAGATGACGAAGTTAATATTCACAACTGTTTTAATAAAGTATGTCTAAAACAATAAATGAAAATAATATTAATGAGATGTAAGGAATTACATTGGCAATTTGGAGTCGCGGTTTTGGGACCTGAATAAAGATTGCTAATGATTGAATGATTGTAATTGAAATGCTTATTATTTTCTATATTGTAATTTATAGTAATATTTATATTACATTATCTGTGTGTTTTGCTGTTCTCTGATTTCCTACATCGGATTGAGACCCCTTTGATTGTAATTTATTTTACTTTTTGGTTATCCCGCCGGCCCTTGTTGGGAATCAGAGACCTTTATTGTATATTTTTTGTTCTTTTTTACTGTTTTTTCCTTTTATATTGTAATTGTTTTCGGTTGAGTAAATGAAATTAAATGCTACTCTCTAAATGTGAAAGAGCGAAATAAATAGCTCTTTTGAAAGAGCGATTTTAGCTCAAAAAGAGCTGTGTCTCGAGGGCTTCTTAAACAAAGAGTAAACAATTACCTCTTTTTAAGCGGATTTGTTCTTTATTTAGACATTCATGATTTTTAAGAAGTTAATACATTTAAAAACACAAAAAAGCAACATAGGGCCTATTGTTGTATTTGTTTTATTATTTGTATTTTTTTTTAAATATAATAGCTTATATATCGTTAATAATCAGTTAATAATCACTGATGCTTGAAAGTTATATTCGCAGGTAAAAGCCTAGCCTGGTACTTCAAAGCCAATAAAAAAGTATATAGTTTCGTGTTTTTTTTGTTTTTTTTTTCTAGATGCTACTTCTCCTAGGCTAGGATTCATAAAAAACCGACAAAAAAAGCCCTTTCTGTCACATTGGCCACAGTTTCCATTTTGACGAATGCATAAAATAATTTTTAGGCGCTCAGACGAACATGAAAGTTATAACCAATCAACGCAGTCAGTACAATATCGCTCGAAATAATCAAGCTGTTTTTTATCGCTCTTATATCACGAGCGAAGTAGAAAAATGAAAAAGTGCAAAACTTTAGCTCTTAGAAGTAATTTACAGCTCAAAATGAGCTAAAATAGTTTAGCTCTAATTTCATAGTGACAATTTAGCTCTTTTACCTTTACGAAGTGGTAACAATTGAATGTCCACTAGAATTAATCTAATCTTCTAGTCATACTAAAAATAAAACTATATCCTGCAGGACACCCTGCAGGATGCAGGATTTGGCAGTATGGGGTGCGTCAGAATCCACACCTCCTCCGCCCCATACCATGGTTGGGGCTAAAATGAGAACATTTTGAGAATAAGGAACTATAGATAGGTGCCCGGAAAATGTACTCTCACACATTAAAAGTCTTACCGGTATCAACAATTAAATAAAATACAAAAATTGTTTTTTCTTAATACAATCTGGGGTGCTGCGATCGCATTGTGTGCACCCTTCTCCCTGCATCAGCCCAATGAGACACCATCCCGTTATTTCTGAGTCTAGGTTTCGGAAGATTATTAGTTAAGTGGTGTATCAAATCGAGATAAATAGGCCTAAGCAATTAATACTTATACAGTAAAAAATGAAATAATTTCAAATTTGTTCCATAACAATATATAACAGCGTCTTTTCCCAAAACACCACCCCTCTTTTTCCAAACACCCGATATATAGTCACACTGCATTATGAGCATCTAAAAAAACAAAAAACATTCCGAGAGATGACCAGGCCCCCCCCCCCCACAAATTCTTCTACCACAGTAGTAAAACTAAACGCAGCCAAAGCAAGGGCAGATTTAGCGATCGCTAAGGCGAAGAAGGAATTTGTGAGTAAAAGGCTCGAATATTTGAGAAAAAGGAAATTGAGAATATAGCTGCACGTGAGGTTTTGGAAGCAGATGCAGAAATTGCAATGGCAGAAGCTAGCGCAATGATTTGGGATAGTGAATCAAACTGTTCTGATGGTAACAAAAGTGACAATGTGCTAAGTAACCTACCACCTATTGATGCGACTAGGAAAACTGCTGAATTCATCATGCAAGACACGCCAAATGAAGAATTATGTGACAATAGCCAAAAACAGCTAGAGAAAAACGCTAAACGCGTAAGTTCAAATCATTTGCCAAATTCTAGTGCATCCTTAGGCCTACCAGGCATGTCCGACTTCATTAAAGAACTTAGAAAGCCTACGGTACGGTTGACCAGTTAAAATTTAGTGAAGGTCCGATAGTGTACAAGACATTTAAACGACAATTTAGTGCGAGAATCAAAAGTATTGTGACTCGCTGGATGAACGACTTAACTACTTAGAGCAATACACGACTGGTGAAGCAAAGAAAATCGTAATTGGCCTTGCCCATCTTGACGCAGCCGTTGCTTATGATGCAATATGGAAGGAGTTCGACGATCGCTACGGACGTACCGACGTTATTGTTCACGAATATATCACCCGTGCATTGAATTGGACAGCAATTAAGCACGATAATCCTAAAGCTTTGGACAAATATAGCATCTTTCTTCTTGAATGTATGTACGCAGTCGACAGTAAAAAATCTGTAAATACTTGATTACTTTAAAAACATTCGAACAGTAATATCGAAACTTCCCACACCGTTGCACGATAGATGGAAAAATGTAGTTTACAAACACCAGGAAAATGGAACAACTGCTAAATTTAAGTATGTTGTTAGCTTCGTGAAAATGGAATAAAAAAAAAGCCAACGATCCTACGTACGGAAAGTTAGTCACGAAGGGTAAGTATTAAAAACCATGTCACGCTACACCAGAAAAACGAGCACCTAAAAGAACATTTGCCATAAGTTCAAGTTTCGAAAGCACCATCACCAAACGACCATGCATTGATTGTGACAGTAGCGAACATTCTGTGGACAAATGTCATCAATTCACAAATAAATTGTTGAAAGAAAAGTACCAGTTCCTGCGAACAAGCGGACTTTGTTTCAAATGCCTAAAAATTGGTCACCGAAAGATAGATTGTAAAGTTTCCGTTGTGTGATGTATGTAAGAGGAACGGCCGTCACACCCTTATGCATGTGAATAATACCAGCAAGGATGAATCCAACAAGGCAGGTAATAGCTCTAAAAACACTTCAGACATCATTACCAACAAAGAATCCTCAGCCTTTGGTAAGGATAAGGGGGCCGGGGAGATTCGCACTGTATTATCTGTCGTACCCATTAAGATCATGGCTAGAAATGGATCCTTTATTAGGACATTTGCCTTTATTGATAATGGCAGCACCTCATCCTAGATAACGAATAGGTTAGCTGAGGAACTGAATGCTACTGGGGAAAGGACGACAATAAAACTTGCAACATTGAACAATGAAACATCGACAAAAACCACACGCATTAAAGGCCTTCAAGCTACCAATGTAAATGAGGAAATGATCATGAATTTGCCACCGTTTTATACAGTTGATAAATTTCCTTTATCAAATGAGGACATAATAACTAAGGAAGAGGTTCACAAATGGCCATATTTAAACAATATTCAACTTGAACTATCAAACAACGACGAACATGAAATCGGAATTTTGTTAGGATCCAACGCCCCAAGATTAATCGAGCCTATGGAAGTAGTACCAGGCGCCGATAATAGACAATTTGCATTTAGAACTGTGCTGGGTGGGGTTGTGAACGGACCAGTCGACGCTAGCACTGAATTTCAACGACGTGAGTTGGAAAATAGAATCGAGGTAAAATCAGAACTAAGTGAACAGTTGAACTATTTTAACAACAAATTTTTAATGAAAAATCGATTGACGAAGAGATGGAAATGAGCAGAAATGACAATCAATTCATGAGAAAGGTTGAAGACAGTGCTTAGAACATAGTCACTATACTATTGGGTTGTCATTTAAACAAGACAACATCAAATTACCCAACAACAAGCCAATGGCAAACCAACGATTTGAAGAAGTGCCATGTGAACAACTTGATGCCACAGAAAATATTTGGTATTTGCCCCATCACGCTGTAAGACACCCAACTAAAGGGAACTCCGCGTAGTGTTCGATTGCGGTGCGAGATACGGTGGAACATCGCTTAATGATAAGTTACTACAAGGACCAAACTTAACGAACACTTTAGTGGGTACTTTACTTAGATTTCGACAAGAAGAAATTGCATTTATGTCGGATATCGAAAGTATGTTTTACCAAGTAAGAGTGCCTGACGCCGACTCGGATTTTCTTCGATTTGTGTGGTATAAAAACAGCGATCGATTGAAACCAGTTACAGAGTATCGAATGAAAGTACACCTGTTTGGCGCCACTTCACTAATTTGCTCAAGCTATGCCTTGCGAACCACTGCGACTAGCCATGCACTTCACTATAGCAAAGAAGCTGTTGATACCATCTTAAAAAATGTCTATGTAGATGACTGCCTAAAATCCGTTTCTTCAACGAGTGAATCAATTGCCCTTGCAACAGAAGTTACAAAGCTTTGTGCCGAAGGTGGGTTTCATTTGACAAAATGGATTAGTAACGATAGGGAATTTATGAACTCGATTCTAGAGGAAGAAAGAGCTAAGAATATAAAAGACATCAATTTGGATATTGACAAACTACCTACAGATCGTGCACTTGGTGTAAAATACAATACCGAAACCGACCAATATAGGTTCAATATTAATCTTAAACAGAAGCCTTTGACACGGAGGGGGATACTATCTGCAGTTAGCTCTATTTACGACCCTCTGGGATTTGTAGCGGCCGTCACATTGCGCGCAAAGGGAATACTGCAAGATTTGTGTAAAATGAAATTGGATTGGGACGACGCAATTCCTAATGATTATCAACTCAAATGGAATAAATAGCTTGATGATGTTAATAAATTGGAAGATTTCTCTGTGAACCGATGTTTTAAACCGGAAAACAATGGGATTATAATTAATGCGCAATTACATACTTTCTGTGATGCAAGTGAGGTTGGATATGGAACCTCAACTTATTTAAGAATACAAAATGAAAATAACGATGTTCATTGTTGCTTTGTTATGGGCAAATCACGTGTAACACCGTTAAAGAAAGTAACAATTCCCCGACTCGAACTGACAGCAGCAACAGTTGCAGTACGAACTGACAAACTAATTAAATCTGAACTTGAAATTCCCATCCATAGTTCGAAATTCTGGACCGATAGTTTGACTGTAATTAAATATATTAGAAACTTTACTTCAAGATTTAACACTTTTGTAGCTAATAGACTATCAGTTATACACGAAGCCACACAAATTCAACAGTGGCGATATGTTAGCACGGACGAGAATCCTACTGACGATGCGTCTCGCGGTTTGACTACTACTAAAGCTAAAGGGAAATAGCCGATGGCTAAATGGACCCGAATTTCTTTGGAAATCTGAAATTGAGTGGCCAAGTATTCCTTTGGATTGCGACAATTTGAACATTATGAATGAAAACGACCCAGAAGTGAAACCAATAGTATTTTTGGAAATCAGACATAAACCACCAAAACCACCCAAAATGGAATATACCATTGATAAATTGGGATGGGCAGTGGGATGGAAAATGTTGGGTGGTCTTGTTTTTATCAGCTTTACAATATAATAGTTACACTGTGACTTGCTATTATACGCCTGTCTCTTATACACATCTAGATGTGTATAAGAGACAGCATTATTTGTGTGTCAGAAATACTGTAATTTGGCTACGTAAGATACACATTTCACTGGAAAAACTGGAGTTAATGCCTAACTTCAGATTTTTCACGCACCATTGACTCCTGTTAAAATTTGGAATAGTGCATTATCTCCATTTAAATAGGGTTAAAAAACAAAAATCACCATGAAAATTATTTAATATGTTTTTTAATTATATGTTTAGTATATTTGCCAAAAATAATACTAGAATTCATTTCCAGTACAAAAGGCTAACGACAAACGCGTTTTGCTCAATAAATTAAAACTAGGATTTTGGAGTTAATGCATTTTTCTAAATCACGGCAGTATGGCTACGATTACGCATCCTGATCCACTGAGTAAGTTTGTAACTTATTTTTCGTCTTGGAATAAACTAAGGCGAGCAACTGCTTGGATAATTAAAGTTAAGCAAGCTTTGTGTCAGAAAGCGAGCGGCAACTTTGACAATTTATCTAAACCCTAATGGATGATATTATCCAAGCTGAACTTTCTTTGATACAACATGCTCAGCAATGTAATTACGCAGAGGAAATCACTTCACTGACGGAACATAAACAAGTGAAGTTAAGCAGTTCAATTAACCGATTGGATCCATTTTTGGAAAATGGAATTATTCGTGTTGGCGGTCGACTTAGGAATGCTAGCTTACCACGTGAATCAAAACATCAAGTATTGATACCAAAGGACTCCCACATTACTGCTTTGGTTCTCGATGATCTTCACGAAAAATTGGGTCATGCGGGACGAAACTTTGTGTTAAGCCGTCTACGAGAGAAGTATTGGATTACACAAGCACCGTCTTTAGTTATACGTATGATTTCTCAGTGTGTAACTTGCAGAAAACTTCGAGGAGCCGTGGTGCAATAAAAATGAGCGATCTGCCTAAAGATAGAGTTATAGCCGACCATCCGGTATTTACATATGTAGGATGTGATCTATTCGGAAATTTTGAAGTTAAAAGGGGACGATCTATCGTCAACCGATATGGAGTTATTTTACGTGCTTAACGACCAGAGCAATTCACATTAGAAGTGCCCAATCTTTAGACACAGGTTCATTTATTAACGCACTTCGGCGGTTCATAGCTCGAAGGGGAAAACCAAATTTAATTCGAAGTGACAATGGAACCAATTTCGTTTCAGCGGAAAGAGAATTAAAGGAAAAAATTGCAAAATGGAATTATGATGCGATTGAAAGACATCTAATTCAAAGAAACATTGAATGGAAATTTAACCCCCGACTGGATCTCATCACGGTGGTTGTTTCGAAAGACAAATAAAAACTGTTCTTAACATTTTATCTTGCCTGCTTAAGGAACAAGTACTTGACGAAGAAAACTTAAGTACATTACTTTGCGAAGTCCAATCGATCATAAACAATAGGCCGATAACGAAACTATCGGATGATCCTAACGATCTACAAGCTTTATCGCCGAATCAACTTATTTTGTTAAAAACGGACACAGGGTTTCCTCCATGGACATTTATTAAGAACGATAATTACCCGAAACGCAGATGGAGACAAGTCCAATATTTAGCGGAAATTTTCTGGAAAAGATTGACAAATGAATATTTACCTAATTTGCAAGACAGAAATGGACTCAATTAAAGGACAATTAAAAAAATTAGGGGCATTGTTCTTATTGTGGACAATAATTTTCATAGAAATTACTGGCATTTAGGTAAAATCAGTGAACTGATTCCCGACAAACACGGTCTTGTGAGACAAGTTAAAGTTAAAACTAAGAATAACGAATTATTGAGGACAATATCTAAATTAGTTAAGCTTTTGGAAAGTGATATTGATAATTCATAAGCTTAACTATGATTTTTTATTTTATGACTATGCGAAACGATTGAAAATAGTTGAAATTGTTGACTTAGAAATTTTATATATGCTTTAATTAATTTTGTTTCAAGTGTTTTAGTATATATACTTTATTTAGCTAGTATTTGTATTGTGTTTGTATAATTGCGAAAATAAATCTCGCAATTAGGGAGCCGGTGTGTAGCCGCCGTAGTTCGAAATGTATATATTTTAGACTGTATTATTTTACACTGTATACGACAACCCTTTTAAAACGTTGGTAAACTAGATTAGTGATTTTTATATATGTTATTTTAAATTGGCGGGTGCTTTACAGAGACCCTAGTGTATAGTGACATGATTTATAGTAATTCTAGTCAAAACATTGGTTTCAACGAGACATAATCCGGAAACGTATGATGTCTGGCAGGGTACTGCTTTCTTATCAACTTTACGTACTGTAGTCCTTGTTAGGCACTTTACGCAACAGGACGGGAAGATGGGTGGACGGTGGTTTTGTGCTCATCAGAGCGTGAAGACAACAGTAAACAATAGGGCGCTTAATCCGAATTGCTCTTCTCGACCGCTCTCTGTCCTCTTGCGTAAAGTGCCTATTGTTTAGGCTTGAAAAATAGCAAGATTAGGCTGAAACAAACATTTTATTAGTTGATGAACGTCGCAATTTTTAGAATAAGGTGACTACTGTATAATGGTATCAGGTGATTTGTATATCCGGGCGTTGGGTAGAAACATTTTTATACAAGTATCTAGATTTGCGAAAAACATTCATTTACTTTATAATTTATGTGAGTGTCGAATCGATAGGTTCGGTCCCTATATTTCCATACTTCTTCGCAAATCGCTCGACTTTACAATTTACTTTACGCTTAGCTTTTATTTTATACTTATGTTTGATAGCTCAATATGCTTGTTTTTTCTGTTAGCAGAAAACGCGGATATTGTGTTACGTTTGTTTTGTGTAAATAAAGTAGAGTAGCGCATATACGAATTTGAAAGTTTCTGTGGATTTTCGCAATCATATCATTTGCGAAGAAATTAGTGAATCAATTTGAACATCGTTAATCGTTAACGTTGTAAAGGATGTCGCACCAAGGAGAAAATTCAGGGAGTGTGACAAGCAGGATATCGAAGATGTCTGTTCATTCGCAAGTAAAACTAAACGCAGCCCACGCAAGGGCAGATTTAGCGATCGCTAGGCAAAGAAAGAATTTGTGAGTAAAAGGCTCGAATTAGAGAAAAAGGAAATTGAGAATAAAGCTGCACGTGAGGTTTTGGAGGCAGATGCAGAAATTGCAATGGCAGAAGGTAGCGAAAAGATTTGGGATAGTGAATCAAACTGTTCTGATGGTAACAAAAGTGCTAATGTGCTAAGTAACCTGCCACCTATTGATGCGACTAGGAAAACTGCTGAATTCATCATGCAAAACACGCCAAATGAAGAATTATGTGACAATAGCCAAGAACAGCTAGTGGAAAACGCTAAACGCGTAAGTTCAAATCATTTGCCAAATTCTAGTGCATCCTTAGGCCTACCAGGCATGTCCGACTTCATGAAAGAACTTATAAAGCCTACGGTTGACCTGTTAAAATTTAGTGAAGGTCCGATAGTGTACAAGACATTTAAACGACAATTTAGTGCGAGAATCGAAAAGTATTGTGACTCGCTGGATGAATGACTTAACTACTTAGAGCAATACACGACTGGTGAAGCAAAGAAAATCGTAATTGGCCTTGCCCATCTTGACGCAGCCGTTGCTTATGATGCAATATTGAAGGAGTTCGACGATCGCTACGGACGTACCGACGTTATTGTTCACGAATATATCACCCGTGCATTGAATTGGACAGCGATTAAGCACGATGATCCTAAAGCTTTGGACAAATATAGCATCTTTCTTCTTGAATGTATGTACGCAGTCGACAGTAAAAAATCTGATGTACTTGATTACTCTGAAAACATTCGAACAGTAATATCGAAACTTCCCACACCATTGCACGATAGATGGAGAAATGTAGTTTACCAACACCAGGAAAATGGAACAGCTGCTAAGTTTAAGGATGTTGTTAACTTCGTGAAAATGGAATGAAAAAAGCCAACGATCCTACGTACGGAAAGTTAGTCATGAAGGGTGAGTTTTAAAAACCATGTCACGCTGCACCAGAAAAACGAGCACCTAAAAGAACATTTGCCATAAGTTCAAGTTTCGAAAGCACCATCACCAAACGACCATGCATTGATTGTACAGTAGCGAACATTCTATGGACAAATGTTATCAATTCACAAATAAGTTGTTGAAAGAAAAGTACCAGTTCCTGCGAACAAACGGACTTTGTTTCAAATGCCTAAAAATTGGTCACCGAAAGATAGATTGTAAAGTTTCCGTTAAGTGTGATATATGTAAGAGGAACGGCCGTCACACCCTTATGCATGTGAATAATACCAGCAAGGATGAATCCAACAAGGCAGGTAATAGCTCTAAAAACACTTCAGACATCATTACCAAAAAAGAATCCTCAGCATTTGGTAAGGATAAGGGGGCCGGGGAGATTCGCACTCTATTATCTGTCGTACCCATTAAGATCATGGCTAGAAATGGATCCTTTATTAGGACATTTGCCTTTATTGATAATGGCAGCACCTCATCCTAGATAACTAATAGGTTAGCTGAGGAACTGAATGCTACTAGGGAAAGGACGACAATAAAACTTGCAACATTGAACAATGAAACATCGACAAAAACCACACGCATTAAAGGCCTTCAAGCTACCAATGTAAATGAGGAAATGATCATGAATTTGCCACCGTTTTATACAGTTGATAAACTTCCTTTATCAAATGGGGACATAATAACTAAGGAAGAGGTTCACAAATGGCCATATTTAAACAATAATCAACTTAAACTATCAAACAACGACGAACATGAACTAGGAATTTTGTTAGGATCCAACGCCCCAAGATTAATCGAGCCTATGGAAGTAGTACCAGGCGCCGATAATAGACCATTTGCATTTAGAACTGTGCTGGGTGGGGTTGTGAACGGACCGGTCGACGCTAGCACTGAATTTCAACGACGTGAGTTGGTAAATTTAATCGAGGTAAAATCAGAACTAAGTGAACAGTTGAACTATTTTAACAACGATTTTAATGAAAATCGATTGACGATGAGATAAAAATGAGCAGAAATGACAATCAATTCATGAGAAAGGTTGAAGACAGTGCTAAGTTAGAACATTGTCACTATGCTACTGGGTTGCCATTTAAACACAACATCAGATTACCCAACAAAAAGCCAATGGCAAACCAACGATTTGCTCATTTAGACAAAAAGCTAAAACGAGACGACGAAATATATAATGAATACAAGAACTTTATGGAATCTATCATTGAAAGGAAATATTGTGAAGAAGTGCCATGTGAACAACTTGATGCCACAGAAAATATTTGGTATTTGCCCCATCACGCTGTAAGCCACCCAACTAAAGGGAACTCCGCGTAGTGTTCGAATGCGCGGCGAGATACGGTGGAACATCAATTAATGATAAGTTACTAATAGGACCAAACTTAACGAACACTTTAGTGGGTACTTTACTTAGATTTCGACAAGAAGAAATCGCATTTATGTCGGATATCGAAAGTATGTTTTACCAAGTAAGAGTGCCTGACGCCGACTCGGATTTTCTTCGATTTTTGTGGTATAAAAACAGCGATCGATTGAAACCAATTACAGGATATCGAATGAAAGTACACCTGTTTGGCGCCACTTCACCAATTTGCTCAAGCTATGCCTTGCGAACCACTGCGACTAGCCATGCACTTCACTATAGCAAAGAAGCTGTTGATACCATCTTAAAAAATATCTATGTAGATGACTGCCTAAAATCCGTTTCTTCAACGAGTGAATCAATTGCCCTTGCAACAGAAGTTACAAAGCTTTGTGCCGAAGGTGGGTTTCATTTGACAAAATGGATTAGTAACGATAGGGAATTTATGAACTCGATTCTAGAGGAAGAAAGAGCTAAGAATATAAAAGACATCAATTTGGATATTGACAAACTACCTACAGATCGTGCACTTGGTGTAAAATACAATACCGAAAACGACCAATTTAGGTACAATATTAATCTTAAACAGAAGCCTTTGTCACGGAGGGGGATACTATCTGCAGTTAGCTCTATTTACGACCCCCTGGGATTTGTAGCGGCCGTCACATTGCGGGCAAAGGGAATACTGCAAGATTTGTGTAAAGAAATTGGATTGGGACGACGCAATTCCTAACGATTATCAACTCAAATGGAATAAATGGCTTGATGATGTTAATGCATTGGGCGATTTCTCTGTGAACCGATGTTTTAAACCGGAAAACAATGGGAATATAATTAATGCGTAATTACATACTCTCTGTGATGCAAGTGAGGTTGGATATGGAACCTCAACTTATTTAAGAATACAAAATGAAAATAACGATGTTCATTGTTTTCTTTGTTATGGGTAAATCACGTGTAACACCGTTAAAGAAAGTAACAATTCCCCGACTCGAACTGACAGCAGCAACAGTTGCAGTACGAACTGACAAACTAATTAAATCTGAACTTGAAATTCCCATCCATATTTCGAAATTTTGGACCGATAGTTTGACGGTAATTAAATATATTAGAAACTTTACTTCAAGATTTAACACTTTTGTAGCTAGTAGACTATCAGTTATACACGAAGCCACACAAATTCAACAGTGGCGATATGTTAGCACGGACGAGAATCCTACTGACGATGCGTCTCGCAGTTTGACATCTACTAAGCTAAAGGGAAATAGCCGATGGCTAAATGGACCCGAATTTCTTTGGAAATCTGAAATTGAGTGGCCAAGTATTCCTTTGGATTGCGACAATTTGAACATTATGAATGAAAACGACCCGGAAGTGAATTCTACTAAGAAAACTATGCTGCCGTAATTTGGAAAAAGGCATTAACTCCACTTTTTGAGATTTTTTGATTTTTGTTTCTATGGCATCCTATAGATGTAATCTATCATGTGAATTGATCATATACCCCAAAAAATGTCCCGAAGTATAAAAAAAATATTATATTTACGCATTAACTCCAATCCATGAATGCAGAATAATTTGAAAGAAGGCATTATCTCCACCAAGCAATAAACAGATCATAATAAACCAATCACAAAAGACAATTACGCATAGTTAATTAGTCATAATAGCTTGTAAATGCACATAATGCCTAGCTTTACTTCGGTTCAAAAAAATGGCATATTAAAGAATCTTCTACCACTAATGAGCGAGAATAGAAAAGCCTTTTGGAGGAACATGCCTGTTGGATATTTCGCTGATTTGATAGATAATTGAGTGAAAAATCAGGCCAATAATCGAAATAAAATACAAAAAATATCATTATATTGAACGCTGATAAAAGTTATAAAATCACAATAAAAATAAAGAAAAGAATATTTCATTATCTTCAATGCTGTTAAAGTAATAAAATCACATAAAAATTAAGAAAGGAATATTTCATTATCTTCCATGCTGGTAAAATGATGTTGACAAATAAAAGAGAAAACCTAAAATTCGTCTAACTTTGATTCATTTAGATTCTATTTATCTACCACACCATTTTATAAAATCTCTCATTTACCTCACCGAATTTTGTCTTTAATTTCGAATAAAAGCATAAAAAAGTATAATTTTTGTATTTGGGCACTTTTTACATGATTCGAAATATATGAAGATTCGAAATATGTAACCTCGCGTTTGTAAAATAGAAGTCTGTAAATTTAGTATACGTAAATTAGAGGTTCTACAAAGTATATTAATATTATTCTTCATAATATAACCATCATATATCAATATCATTGTATTCTGATTGAATATGAAAATGATAGCAGCTTAATTTGAATAATAATATTAATTTTATCTATTTTTATACGTGTCAATACAATGACGACTCCTAAATTGATTATAAATTTATACTATAATATTAATACTTTTACATGGACTAAATTTCGTGAAATATATAATTGACACTGGCATACATTATTTGTGTGTCAGAAATACTGTAATTTGGCTACGTAAGATACACATTTCACTGGAAAAACTGGAGTTAATGCCTAACTTC